GGTCTATGAAATCACTGAAGGGTTGAATATAAAGCAACAAAATTAAAAACATAGGATCTCCGTTCTGACACATTACATTCCTAGCTTTTTGATGTCTATTTCCTAAGCTGCTGGTTTGTATTGGTCTTGCTACAGTATGCCTTTCATGCTTGTCATGCCCTTTAGAGTGCTTCAGGAATTTTGGAAACTATGACAATAATGCAATTTAATTACAGAAAGAAGAAATGACCGTTGGTTTTGTTTTTGTTTGAAGTGTTTGCCTTTACAGGAAACATGCTGCATTCTGACTGAGCAGAGAAACCTGTCCCTTCTCCTCCAGAATGTCTTTCTCTTCTTCTCAGTCAATACCTGAGACACTAATATTCTAGTAATGTGGATCTGCTCTACGGTTGTATTCAAAATGAGTTGTGCTGGTCCCCTTCCTTGGTTACTTTCCTAAATATAGATTATTAGAAACAGTTGATTTGCAATCCTCAGAATTGCTGTTCATAGTCCCTAATCTTAAAATCCATAATAGCTCTTATGCTGCATAGTGACTGTAGTGTTGTACCATTCTTAGAAAGATCGACTCACCAGCAATTTAATTTAATTTAAGTGGAGCAACAATGAACAAACATTTTTTTGAGTTGGGTTAAATATTATTTCCCACACAGCACTAGGAAAATGGAAGTAAGGCAGTTTTCTGGACTTGCATTCATGTTTTTTTTGTTTGGTTTTTAATTAAAATTCTTTTTCAATGGGAAGCCTGGCTTCTCTTAACTGTATTATATATGGCATTGACAATCCCCCTTAAAGCCTGTCTGCACCCTTCACATGACCAGCAGCTTCATTTGTCTTCCTGAAGGAAATAATGGTAACTTTTCTTAACATCACAAAGATGTCGGGCATTAGGTTTGGACCCATACCTGCTGGAATACCAACAAAGTTCCTTTCATCTTAAATTAAGTACTGACTTCTTCAAAGTTATGGGCAGTCCGATACATTTTAACAGACAGGTTAAATTAATAGAATTGTAAGCGAGGATGAAAACTGTTAAGGTATAAGGCAAAAGAACCACGTGCATCGCAAATGTATGGTTTTGCCAGTCAGGCCAACACCGCTTAAATTTGAAAAACATGTTAAGGAAATTCCTTCACCACCTGTTGATAGCCCATGTATTGTTAATACAGGCACCGATGCAGTGGGACCTGTTGTAATGCATCCCATGAATACTGATCACAACTGTCAACCATCAGCTGCAAGTACAGATTCTGGTATTCAATTAGGTTTTTGACTTTTCGGCGACTTTACATGAAGCAAACTCTTGAATTTACACTAGTCTTGAAAAGAACACACATCTGCATCTTTAAAAGCAGAATCAATGTTATTTTTTTTATGTATAAGAACCCATCACAAAACATAAATGAAATACTGATTATAATCTAGCTGGTGTTTAAGTGGTATTTGATATTAATGGTAAGACATTGTGAGGTATTAGTAATCTAGATGATATCCTAATGCTTGTCCCAGAACTTGAAAAAGAAGTCACGGCTGATATGAACTGTAGTGTGTATATTGTTTTCATCCTTGTCAACTCCCTGAGAAAATACACAACACATTTTGCCGTGCTTTGCTATACAATAGCTAATTAATACAACAATAATTTTCATTCTTCTAAATAAAATGGAAACTCGTTTCCCAGATGTAAAATTCAATGTTTTCAAGTTAAAATACACTGTTCACAATTTGTTTTTAACAACTGTAAAAAAAATGTTCATGTGTGGAAATAAAACAGAATGTGTTGCTCTGTTCTTACAGTTAAACCTCCTTGCACTCATATGAAGTTTTAAAATAGAAATATCAGCATTTTGTGTCCTTAAAGTAACGAAAATGTACCTTAATTTTTTGTACTCCAAAAGTACAAAGAGAAAAGAACAAAACTCATTGCAGGCAAAAAATTCAATTTTACACGCGATCACCATGGGCTACACTCTTGCTCAGCTGGTTAGGTTCCGTCTAAACTGCTCAGACAAACAAATCATATCCAATTAAGAAATCTATACATTTCCCTTGTTCTTGGTACTAGAAACATGGTGGATGGTGTCACATCTTGGGAGTATGGCTCGTGTGCCTAATATATAACATATACAAGGTGTTCTTACTTCTTTTTTTCAAAGGCTAAAATGCTTGACAGTTTACATCTCATAAAGGTTTTCCAAATCTCACCTGGGAAAAAAAGACATTTAGCTAAAACAGCAAAATAAAATATGCTCTAAAAATGGTAAATTCTGTAGAAGTGAATTCAATTGGTATATTGGTATTGGTGTTTAAACATACTCAGGACTATACAGGGTTAAAAACCTCCAAGAACGCAGAAAGGAGATTCCTAAATCGTTTCTGATTATCATATACTTTTACCTCCAGAACAAACTGGAGACTGGAGCCAGATGGAAAAATATGGGGACAGCCAACAGTAGCTCACAAAACTGATAAGCTGAAATAAGTACGTCGAGCAGGCAGAGGCCTTCGCTGTGAATTTGTGCCCAGTAATGAAGAGTACAAGAGGCCAATTGATAATGGGGAATTCCGGGCGGTGAAAAACAGCATCAGCTTACAAGACAGGCGTGACAAGCCCAGGCATGTATCACTAGCTCTTCTACTCTCACACAGAGAGTTTTCTTGTTGCGGATACCATTAGGTGAAATTTTCTATCCAGCATGCTCTCACTTTCCTTCATTACACAATTCATTAACAGATTTTAACTCTTGTTAGTACACAATGTCAGATGATAACTTCTTGATCTGTGTTACTTCCTGACATACTTGCAGGAGCAGAGCTGAACTGTAGTGTACCGTAAAGTGTGGAAGCATACCGGAATGGTTTATCAGATTTCTACTTGGTGTTCCTTTACAGTGATCTTAGGGGCTGCAAATGCTTCTCATAACAATTTGTCAAGTCAAATGGATTAATAAAGTACTAAAAGATTACATAATCACCATAATAGTCAGCCTCTGCTGTAGACTAATTGCATATTAGTAACAAAACCCCAATAGTGAAATACAGTACAAACAGGGGGCTAAGATTATTATGTGTAACATATTATTTGTCACTGTGTTGCTTTACATTTTTGCATATCTCTTGGTATGGTAGCCTGTATGTCTGATCAGATGCTGTTGAGAGGATTGTGCCAGTCCTGAAAATGCAATGTGGTCACTGTGCATCTCTCAGCCAAGCTTGGCATCTCAGGCAGGTTTCCTTCATTGTACTTTTATGGTAAGGAGTCCAAAGGGGACCCCATGTTCTCCAGTATTGTGAAGACGAGAACAGTCAAGAGGGCTGGGAAGGAAATATTGAGAGGAAAGTTGCAGGGTTCAAAGAGAGAGTGATGCCGACACTGAAGGGAAAAACTGAGTCAGACTGATTATGAGAAAAGTTTTGATGGTTTTTTAAATGCATATGTACAAAGCCCTATGGACCTTTATGGGGCCATTAATGCTTATTCCTTAAAAATAAACCCAGGAGAGGTCAAGCTTTAACAGCAGTCCGATGACTTAAATTCTCCACTTTTGAGTTCTAAAACGTGGCCCGTTCTTCTCAGGCAGGTAGTTGGGCTCTCTATATCCAGGCCTTCTCTGTTTTGGTCTCTTCCATTGGTTTGGCAGCAGGTAGACACTGACACCAAGGCTTTATACATGAGGCTACCCATGCTGGGACCTGGACTTGGTCTTTCAAATCCAGAGTGTGATGGGAAGAGTGGACTGTGATCATTCTGCCAAAGAAACTGGTCTGGGACTATTCTGCTTTGCCAAGTAAGTCACAGTCACAAGAAGTGATTCAAGTCACAAGAAGATCAAGAACTGTTCTGAGTGTAACCCTTCAGAAAACAGTATGCAAGAAAAGTATGCACATAAGAAGGATGCAAAGACCAGAAATAATGGTGGACACATAGTCTTACACACACAGAATAGGCTCCTATGGGCAGTATTGAGAGGTTCTAATGCATTATTAGAAAGAGGCAATTAATAATAATTAATAAATAATTAATAATCTGTTATTAATCCGGTGTCTGCAGTTGTCCCAAAATACAGCACACCACAGTGATCTGGACTCTTTATCTAACAAATCCTTCCATCTCCTGCCTGGTGTTTGTTGTACATTGGCGAGTCTGCGAGCCAAAATGGAATAGGCATTAAATACATCCTATTTTAGGAATGAATCTAATTTGGCTTTGTAAACATGTCCCTTTTAACAGAGGAGTAAACTTTGTGAAATTTAATCATAATGTAAATGTTTGCGCTACAAGTGTGGAGCCATTACTTCTGCGGCACATAATTAAACAGCAACAAGCTAAGTTTGTTTATATTTTGTCATTCAGTTGTAATAAATTGATGTGGAGACAATTCTTTCCTATCCTCGCTGTCTGTTGAACAGAAACAATACAAAAACCACACACCAAAAAGTCTGTAACGCCCCGTTAAATGAAGGTGATTTTCTTTTTTATTACGACATCCGTCCATTTTCGAACCTTCTAACTTAGGGTCCCGCGGAAACCGATGCCCACTCCAGCAAGCAACGGGCGCAAGACAGGATACACCCTGGGTGGCATGCCAGTTCATTGCAGGACACATCCAGACACAAACACATCCAAACCAGGCTTGATTTTCCCAGAAGCCAATTAACCCCTCTAGTATGTTGTCTGAAAGTGGGAGCAAACCCACAGGAGAACACAGGAAGAATAGTGTCCACATACAGTGCCCTAGGAATTGAACCCGCGGTCGCAGAACTGTAAGGCAGCTGTGCTAATCAACGCACCACGGTGCCACCCTTCATTAGAACACAGCACTGATAAACTTCATTTCCTGACGTGTCCGTCGAAAAAAACCCCAACATTTTTTAAAGACAACAGCACAATCTCACAGGGAAACAAAATAAAAATACCTCCAAAAGATGAAGGCATCATAATTGAACACAGAAAGGCATAACAGACGGGCATGAGCATCACTTATAGCTGCTTCTCTTACCTTCAGCCTCACGGGGGCTCCAGTGTCCAGAAGGGGCACAGGGGCGAGGAGAGGAGGCGTTTGATGCATACTGGATCAGAACCCCACCTTCCTGGCACTTATCACACACCGATCCCCCTTCTCTAGTAGAACCAACAGATCAGACCGTTACCAACTTATATTTCTGTCATAAATACATGTTTTCATATAACAGGGGGCTTCCATTAACTGTTTGGCACAGGGAAATTCATATCCCATTAATCTGGGGAAAATGGGCAAGGATTTGTTTCCAAATAAGGGTATTGGGGATATTAATATCATGGTTTCTATTACTTCTCCCATATATTCCTAAAGAATAAGGCTGGTGATCTGAGTCCGCGTCAATCACCAACTCCCTTTCTGCAGGGGAGTTTATGACAGCATAACTATTAATACAAAGAATGGGAACAAGGAGGAAATCACAACAGAAATCAGTGAATAATCCTCTTTTTATTGGTCCTTTACTGCATCCTTCATTGTTGACTGACACGTTTCAGCCAGCATTGCTGATTATGTCAGCTCCGGGCATATGCTGTTCCTGACAGGAAACAGACCCTGCATTTCAAATGTACATGTTTTTGGTGGGAGGGAAGATAAAAAAGTACCTCTATTTTAATGTTGTAGCTAAGGATTAGAACAAGTGCTTCTTTTTTTTTTGACAAGACACAGTACAGTATATTTAAAAAAAAAATGTTAATCATATCTCATATTCCATTGCCCATTCCAAAATGCACACCTGTGCTCCTAAAAAAAATATTTACGAAACAGGAAAAACAAAGGGACCTGTTAGTGAAAACTGGAAATTCTTTGGGATTCTCAAAAGGCCTAAGCTTCTACATTTTCACCTGTCGTAAAAGTGCCCGTTGACGGGAGAGAACCATTCGAGTGTGAGGGCATCAGCCGTCTGGTCTACCACTTGGGGCGCCAGAGGGACAGGAGCAGGCTTGCTGTCTGGCTGCCAGGACTGGTAGATAAGATCCAAGTAGCAGTGCATTCTTGCAACTTGATTGAGCGTGAAGGAATCAGTACAGTCATCATCTTGGGGGTGAAGAAAAACAAGAGAAGAAACATCAACAAGACAGTGAGAAAGATGATGCGTGAAAGATAGGGCAGGTCATGTTGTACCTCTGTTGACCTCAACGCACGCCACACACTCCTACTTGATAATTAGGCAAGGTAGGGGTTGGATATGTTATTCAATGAGGCTGACAATCTGTGGTAAATAACTTTCACAGGTGTCAGAATCACTTATAATATGGGAAATATGACAGGAAAGCCCTTGTTATTGATGGCACTTAATAAAACATGCAGCTCTGCAACCAAATTTATTACATGGGATTCATGTAAGAAATAGGATAAAAAGAGTTTGAGGCTTAGCATACAGTATGCAAGGAATCAGAATTGATCACCGGTGTCTGGTTTCCTTGATATAGTGCTAGAAGTAATTAGGGTTTCAGCACAAACTGCTACACTCCAACTCGACTCCTAAATAACTTGTATCACCAAGTGTAGTCTGGAGCACAGAGCTGGAGCTTTTCTGCTGAACCAAGCCGATATGTACAGAGGTGACATTCAGCCAGTGCTTCACCTTGGGTTCTTGGAAGATCAGATTCTTACGAAATCACATGAGAACAGCAATAACAAGTAACAACAAACTCCTTTCCCATGACAATGTAATCTCCTTCACACACCACTGCTACTATTTTTCCATGAAGGGCCCAAAGACGGAACAGGGACATTTCAGGTGAGTATTAATATTTGCGTAATATTATGTACCTCTGTCTGAACCATGAGTTTAGCTTTCAATGTGCATGCTTAGACAATTAATTCTCGCACTGCAAAGTTTTATCAAAAGGCTTATGCCTCTGCAGTTTTAAAAGGTACTGTAATGTAGGATTCTTTTAGGAGTTTTAGAATTGCTTTCTTAGTACTGGGTCTGAGGTGAGACTTGAGCTGCAAAACATAAGTTTCACAATTGCCTTACTTGCCTTTCATTTGTAATTACAAATTGTCCACAGAATGCAAAACCTAGAATTTATTATGCAAAATGTACTATAGTATAACTTCAGTTTGAGACAGATCTAAAATTAATATAGTACACTTTTTGTAGGAGTGGTTTACAGCTTATGTCTTAGACTTTTTTTTTTACTTCAAGGCAGGGCCTACACCTTGATATCAGTCTTGGATATGGATTTAAAGACAGTGGCTACTGGCCTTAGAAATTTCCTCAACTGCAAATGATTCTCCTCGTGAGCCACAGGGATGCTTATTGGACATGTATCTTCTGAAGCTACAGACAGCCGGTCTGCTTGCCCCATCAGGTTTTTCTTTGCCTGTGATCACTTGCATTGTCTGTCTCAAGTTTTCACCAGATGGAAGCAGGACCTGATGAAGCATCTAATCCATGCCTGCCTTGAAGAGCCTCAAAGGTAGTGTTATACCAACCATAACCAAATAAATCAATTCAATAGTTGGGCGTATTTAGCCAAAATGTTATGCACCAGGACTGTGGCAGTAGATGAATCAGAATTCTTATAGAAGCTGGAGAAATAAGACCCTCCAGAAACGAGAGTGGTCACCACTGAACCACCCAAAAGGTTGTTAACTCATCTTCGATCTTCCTGTGCCAATGGCAGCAGAGGGCTTTTGCACTGGGTATCCCGAATTGAGAAGAATAAAGTATACTGAAACACGGTACTTATGTTCAATGTTCATTTGCATTGACATTAAAAACAATCTAAAAGTACCAAATGCCACCCTCAGCCTCAGCTATTCTCTATACTGTAAGAAGTAGTGCCAAACACCCCCTTGCTATTCATGGAATTCCAATAAAACAGATAACTCACCCAAGATCATGGTGGTCTTACTTTAAATCTTTCTTTTTATCTTCCTTTTTATACACTGTTCTGTTTCACATTTTACCTAAAACACAGCACTGTTATGGCATAATTAAAGCCCCAACATGTTTGAAAAGTGTATTTATGAAAAGGGAGGTGAAAATAAAATTGCTTGCGTGTGTGAGAGAGTGTTGAAGAGAATGGGATGCTCTTCTGGGGGATCTTTCGAAAATGTGAGTTACTTATTCACAGTGGTTCACCCTACAAGGGGGAAGTCCCAGGAACAATATGCTTTTTCCTTTCAAAAGACATAACACTGTCTGAATTGGACCACGTTTAAAAAAAAACATTTCTGAAGATGCTCAGACAAAATGCATTTATCTGTGTGAACAAGCAGGAGAGCCCCTTAACTGTGGCTGTCAACTGCCTGCTTACACTAACTCCTTTATAAAGAAAGAAAAACTGGCTGTTATAAATTCAGCACTGACTAAAAAACAAACCGTAAGGATTATTATTTATGATGTACAGTACTTTATTCAGGATACATACTGTTCAGTGAAATATTTTTGTGTTTTCAAAGTATATTTTGCTTTTGCGTCCGGAATAAGATTTATTAGAGTTAAGGATTTCAAAACGTGTCAGTTTCTCTGAAAAGCTTTCACTCTCTCCTGTCTCTTCTGGGAGATGAAACCAGGGAAACCTGTTGACATGGCTAACATGACTAATTGTTCAATCCTCAAGTGGCTCGGATCACACACAAGGATTAGACTGAGATTCAGAGCGGTCTTCACTCACCAGCGTAGCTCATGTAGTTGTTGAAGGGGGTGTTTGTGAAGTGTTTGGAGCCACAGGTTTCGTTTCCTGGCTCGGGGTCATGGCAGTGCTTGTATTTGGGGGTGGGGTTGGTATCGGCACAGAGGTCCCCCATCTCTAAGGACGGTTCCACCTCCAGGCAGGGGTCGTTGCAGGACTCGATCTCAGAAATGCCCCGGAAAACATGGTAAAGTCCCAGGCTGTGTCCAATCTCATGGATCATAGTGTTGGTGTGGCCAAAAGTACCATAGAATGAAGGATTCAGCACAATTCCCCCTACAATGACAGTGCATAGAGAACACATTTACCTTCTCATACAAAACATGTATCAACCAATCACAAAAAGCTCAATAAGAAAACCAGCATCAACATCATTCTGGTGATGGGTAGTCACAGGGTAAAAGTACAAGGTCACACCCTCTGAACTAATTCATCAAACAAATAGAATAACAATGAAATGACCATACACCTGGCATTTTTGCATAGGAATCTTAAACCCTTTTAAAGGTGCAATCAATACTTTGGTAGCAGGCCATCCAGTATGAACATATCATGCACAATTATAGCTCAAAATACTTGTTATTCCCAAAACAAAGTTGACAGTACTTTTCAGAGCAGCATAGTTCTAAAATAAACAGATACTATTATCCACAAAAATGTTTCAAGTTGTGGTCAATTTATATTTCAGTATTTAGCTTCTGACATTTGGAGGATGTTGAGGGGTACACTACAATTGTTCAGCTTGCAAACACAAAAAATGAACAACAAAACAAATGCTCCGAGTTTGTTACCTAAATGCGTTAACGCCTCTTTATCCCAAGGCCAAGTGGCAACTCCAGCCAGATCTTCATCAGAGGAGTTGGCAAAGAAGATATTCAGATGGGTGGAGCCATCCAGATTGAGTATTTCTTTTAGCTCCTTCACATCCAAGTAGGCCCTAGAGTAGAGACAAAATCCATTACATGGGTAGCATGCACATACCATAATGGGTCAGTCTAGGGCAACTTTGTCATTATACAATGTAAATGGTTCCTGCCCAGTGCTATATTTGCAATAGACAAAAAAACAGTTTCCCTCTCTCCCCCTTCTAATGCAGAGTTTACATATCCCCAGGGAGGAAATCAGTGGTCTTGGCACATTCTGTCCACATGCTAAACTACTCAATTAAACCTCTACACATGAAAGTGAAACATTTTCATAATGAATTAGATGCAAATGTTCAGTCTCCAGCAAGGAGCCTGACCACATTGGCAGTGTGTTTTACAACAGCCACAGGGCAGTGGGGCACATGGCCTCACGCTATTTACCCTGACTGGAAAGTCACCCATAAAATTCTGGACAGGGCAAATTCTGTAGAGCATATGGAAACTGTTTCACAACTCCTCTCCCAAAGTCCTAAAGGCACAGAAAGTTGGTACTATATGAATGTTGGCATTATGAGGCCCAAATTAAGTTCTTGAATTTACGTTATGATCAACAACTCTTAATTTATAGGACTGGTGTAAGGAAAATCCAAACATTTCCTCCTTTTTTACAATGAGCTACAAGAGCTATCATACTAATGGCATGCAGCTTACTGTTTAAAGTGGATCTGTAGGCAGGATTTAATCGCAATCAACAAAATTGCTTTTATCAGTCTCTGCATTGCAGTAGTAAACAATCATGGTAGATTCATTTCACTGGTTGTAATTCACATTTTTTTTCCCCACACTCACCTAGAGTTCACGTTTTTGCTGCACCGATTTTATGACTGAGAGATACTGCTGGTGTAACACTGCTCGCAATATAGAGCTACAACTGCAGTTTATTAAGAACAAAATGGAAACTAGCATGACGGCATACTGAATATAATAGGAAGATGAATGGCATCATCATCTCATAATCAGAAACACGCAGAAGACAACGTTCAAAGCATATTGCTCCAGGGCACAATTTTCTCCACTTTTTTACTCCTTAGAAAGTAGTGACAGACAGTTATTGCAATTGCTTTCCACGTTTATATTGTCGCCAGCTTGATTGCCATCTTCATATTAAAATTGAGATCAAATTTATATATCGGTAGACAAAATATTGAATTATGTGCCTTTCACTTCAAACGTCAAATTCACACAGGTTTCTTTCAAATTAAATAATTAAATAAAAACGTTCTTTCTAAGAGAGGCTGGAAGAGATGCGTGAGCATTTTCCAGACAAAGGAAAATCTTCCTTTTTACCAACCAGTTCATAAAGTTTCATTAACACACTTTATTGCAGTCTGTTTCACTTTCAGGAAAAGCATTTTGGAATGAATAACTTGAGCTTAATCAAAATCTGTCACCTTTCTCTGCGACTCTTCTTTTCCCTCTTGTTTACACGCTACAGCTGTGAAATTGTCACTCATCCTTTGTGAAACGGTGCTGACGTAATCGCCCGTGACCGAGGAGAACAGAGTAAGCATGGTCCTTCACCAGTGCTAAGGTCACTGTCATACAGGAAGACTTACTGCAGATGAAATTTGAGCTGCCTTCTGAAGTAAAGACTTGTTTGTGGAAGGTCATTGCCCTTATCTGGCTAGGAATGTTGTGTGTCATCAAGTACAGTACCTTCAAACTGCTGCCTTCTAGTATGCTAATTATTCCATTTCAAAGATTCAGTTCCATATTAAAAAATTCTGTCTTTGGTATGCCACATAACCCAGACATTGTCTAAGGACTACCCTTTTACCTTCACAGAACATTCATCATAGTTTAGAAGAAATCTTTCTCCTTGGCCACATGCTGCTCTGAAAATGCTCGTCTGAAGCATTTTGCCGTCCAGAAAATATAACTACTGTTAAAGAATACTCTTTCCACCAAAAAAACAAATTTCACTGTAACATTCCTAAATCAGAGCTTTCCGTTTTGGTACGACTGAAGTAGAGACAAAATCTTTGCACAAAATGAATGTGCATTTTAATGCCCTATTTCATAATTTACTATCTTTAAAATGGATCAAAACATCTGTTTGTGTTACGAAACTCGCACTAAGGCAGTTGCATAGTTAAGATCAAGGGCTCTTGAGTCATCCTGAGCTATTTTATTATGAATTTGTAACAACAGCAGGTGCATCTCTCCTTTTATAAAACCAGTCGGTGCTACAGATATGACTGTTGGAAATTATGTATGATTTATAGTTATAAAATTATTTTCTTTTTCATTTTTTACAGTGCCAGCTCCGAGGGTGACTGCTTTACTCTTTAGCAGAACAGCATAAAGTATAAATATAAAAAGGGTAACAAATAGCAAAAGAAGAGAAAATGATACCCTTATGATATTGGCTTTTTAATATAAATAACTTCAAAACATTTGTCTACTTACAGTATCATTACACCAAAACCGTCTGAACTGTCCCGCTATAGGAAAATGCTTTTATGCCATTCTTTTCCATGAAAAAATACTGTAAGTAGACCATAGAGTTGTAAGACTAATAAAGTACATACAGTATGTCTGCTGTAGAATAAAGAGGAGGTACAGTACTTGTTTACACCAAGGGTTGTAATTTAAGAATTTACTCAGTTTTTTCTCCAGATTTATGGAGAGGAATCTCTTGGTACCTTCAAGAAACAGGTCCTTGGATCAGTATCCTACTAGCAATTACATTAAGAAGATGGTAAAAACATCCTTCTTAGATTTGTAACCTGTAGTCTTATTCTATACCTCTCCTGGCAAAGATGAAACTCATAGGCTTATATTTATTTCTCAGGTGCCACACTGAAACCACAAGACCACACTTGTACGGTACATGCCAGGTATTAAGATCTTACTTGAAAACCAGCTTCACAATCGACACCATAACATCCGCATCCAGAATTAAATGCTGGTATTGTACGACCATTGTTCAAATCAGCAGAAGATGCATATTAAAAGGACTCCTGGGTTGGTAAGTTGTATAGTATCTTTACATTGCTTTTCTTGAAACAGCAGAAATTTATTATTCAATTATTGATCAAAAGCTGGACTTCCAGTGCGTTCTCTGTGGATAGTGCATTAAGAACCCATGTTCTTAAAATGTGTAATATTTAATGGATGGCTTGTTCTGACCTGGTTTTTCCCATTAATACAGCATTCAAGCCACTCTTAAGTTCCCACTGGAGGAAAGGGACACAACAGTGGTGCTATCTGAATCATCCACAGATAAAGTAATAATAAATGTACAGAAGACACTTAGGGTGATTACATGGGAATGTATTAAACAGGATTCAATCCACACCAAAAGAATAAAATGGAAACGTCATGGAAGTGCTGAGCTTCCTAAAATTCAGGTTTGAGGCTTTAATTTGTGCTGCCTGCACTCAAGGCCAAAGGTCTGTGGTCACCTCCTCAGAAGACTATAAAGTGCAGTAGAAGTGCAATTCTTCACAAGAAGATAGGCTGACTTGCAGTACCTCAAGTGTTTATTGTACAAATATTAACATGAATTGCAAACACACCCTGTTGCTTTTAGATATTGTTGTAGAGATATGTTTATCATAATAGGGCAAAGGCAGGAGTTTTTTACAAAAATATCAAATTAGGGGTTTAGCCCTTAAGAGGTAATAGACAAAGAACATGAACTGAGAGTTAAAATGTTACTTTAATCTTTGCATTGGAGAGCTGTTTGAGAATGTAATTAACACTGTACAACCTTGAAATTAATAATTACCTCTTGCTATTGCACAACACTAGGGTATGGGAGGAACTGTGTGATGATACATTTTTAGATAGTCTGTAGTCTAGCTTTGACTTTATATGTGCAAAAGCCAGAATCAGACATCTCTTTAATTCCACCTCCCTCTGTGCTCTATAAGTAAAAGTTAATTAATATTAAATCCCATTATTCCTAGTGACTGCATGCTCCTAAAACACTCCATACAACTTAAAGGTGCTCCTTTTGAGATTTATGGATGGCAAGCTTTAAGGTTACTTATTTAGATGTTGTCTCATTACAATAGCTTTTTGTTCATGCCTCTTGTGCTCAGAACCCCTGGGAGGACAACTTCAACCCAATTAGCTTCCCTACACAGCCCTCTCCCCCCTGTTTTTAACCCCTTCTCCTCTTAAAAGTTGCTCAAACAAAAAATAAAGACACACCACCATCCCCCCCTTCTTTTCCTTTGAAAAAAACATCTGTTGGCCAGGCAGCTGTCCAGAGTATGGAATCCAAACACATCAGCACTGCTATAGTACCTAAAGTAAATGGCATGGGATTACCAGTATTTCCTACTGCTCTTTTGTGTTTTCTTTCTTCTTTTTTTTTAAGCATGGAATAAACCTTTTACTTGTTCCTTTACATTAAATAATGTTTCTCTTTTAGAACTTCTCTAAACCAGGGTTTGCTAGCTTTGGGCTTTGAGACCTAATCTGATGGTTTTCATTCCAGTTGATTTATTTACTGTTATTTACTTAAACTTTAATTGAACTAATTGCCTACCTAATTAGATATTTGTCATAATTTTCAGATGCCTAAAATTTAAAGGTTCTAGAGTCCCTTGTAAAGGCTAGTAATAAACCTAAAAGGTCTCGCAATAATATGGAGAACTGACATATTTATTGTTAAAATATATCAATAAAATAGTTCTAATTAAATGAGTAGTTCAATAAAAGGTTCAATTAAGTACTGTACAGTTCAGTTGAACTGAAGACTATTAGACTGCATGATTCACAGAAACAGCAGCAAGACATTCTGTAACAAAGTGATAGCAAATATGTGCTATGGTCCAATGTGCTTTGACTGCTGATGTACAGTCGTATCAATTAGTAAGCCAGTACAGATGGTCATCTCTCTCTCTATATATATACTATACTTTATATCATATATCAGGGTTAGGAACCAGAAGGTTGAGACTTACTGTTTCATGAAAAGCCATACTGTATATAGGGGACTTTTCCTCGATAAGAACAGCTTAAATATACAGTAGGGTACTGGGGACTGTAAGACCAT